GTGTCTGATGTCATTGGCTGTGCAGGCGTAGGGTTACAGTGTAGAACCTACAGCGTCTGATTTTGGAGTCCTGTGTCTGATGTCATTGGCTGTGCAGGCGCAGGGTTACAGCGTAGAACCTACAGCGTCTGATTTTGGAGTCCTGTGTCTGATGTCATTGGCTGTGCAGGCGCAGGGTTACAGCGTAGAACCTACAGCGTCTGATTTTGGAGTCCTGTGTGTGATGTCATTGGCTGTGCAGGCGCAGGGTTACAGCGTAGAACCTACAGTGTCTGATTTTGGAGTCCTGTGTCTGATGTCATTGGCTGTGCAGGCGCAGGGTTACAGTGTAGAACCTACAGCGTCTGATTTTGGAGTTCTGTGTCTGATGTCATTGGCTGTGCAGGCGCAGGGTTACAGCGTAGAACCTACAGCGTCTGATTTTGGAGTCCTGTGTCTGATGTCATTGGCTGTGCAGGCGCAGGGTTACAGCGTAGAACCTACAGCGTCTGATTTTGGAGTTCTGTGTCTGATGTCATTGGCTGTGCAGGCGCAGGGTTACAGCGTAGAACCTACAGCGTCTGATTTTGGAGTCCTGTGTCTGATGTCATTGGCTGTGCAGGCGCAGGGTTACAGTGTAGAACCTACAGCGTCTGATTTTGGAGTTCTGTGTCTGATGTCATTGGCTGTGCAGGCGCAGGGTTACAGCGTAGAACCTACAGCGTCTGATTTTGGAGTTCTGTGTCTGATGTCATTGGCTGTGCAGGCGCAGGGTTACAGCGTAGAACCTACAGCGTCTGATTTTGGAGTTCTGTGTCTGATGTCATTGGCTGTGCAGGCGCAGGGTTACAGCGTAGAACCTACAGCGTCTGATTTTGGAGTCCTGTGTCTGATGTCATTGGCTGTGCAGGCGCAGGGTTACAGTGTAGAACCTACAGCGTCTGATTTTGGAGTCCTGTGTCTGATGTCATTGGCTGTGCAGGCGCAGGGTTACAGCGTAGAACCTACAGCGTCTGATTTTGGAGTCCTGTGTCTGATGTCATTGGCTGTGCAGGCGCAGGGTTACAGTGTAGAACCTACAGCGTCTGATTTTGGAGTTCTGTGTCTGATGTCATTGGCTGTGCAGGCGTAGGGTTTCGCTTTTACAGCCAATGCTAGTATGAAGGACCTGCGTTGTCACTGTTGACATAGTGAGGCTTTCCAACTGCGCACGCGCTGTTCCAGCACGCCTAGGGATCGAACGCGGATTGGTTATATAGAATGCAGAAGAAGCAGGTGAATGATTTTTTTTTTTTTAAATCCTGTTTGCCTGCTTTGTCAGCTTGCAGCATGAGACAATGGTCTCATCCTAAGCTAATGACGCTAACGTTTTTGATGGAAACAGTTATCTTAATGTGGTGCGTGTCCCTTTAATTTCATTAATAGGGGCAGGAAATCTAAACAGTAATCAGAAGACTATGGCGTTAGGAATGTATGTTTGTATTCCTAACTCTCTAGAGTTATATTATTAATAAATTCTAAATTAACTCACCGTGCAATGAGGGAAGCTAAAAAAATCCCTTAGGCTCTTTTTCTAACAAACGTGTAGGGAGGCTGTGCCAGTCTCAGCCAGGGGAGGTGTGCGTAGGGCTGCAGAGACCGTGATTTAACTCTTAAATAGCAGAGAATTGAGCAGAGGCCCAATCTATACACCAGAACTGCTTCATTAAAGGAATACTTCAGATTGATGAAATGCTGTATGTGTCTGGAGTCTGTCATTGTCTGCGCATACAAGTCAACGTGTAGACCTTAAAATCGCCCTCATACACATGAATACACTATAGATCATAAAGATGCACAGTGTATTCAATGTAAAATATAAAGATTTACTCACCTCTCCTGCTTTCCAGTAGGGATGTGCACGGGCAAAAACTTTGGTTCGGTTCCGAAATTCGGGCAAGTAAAAAAAAAAATTTGTCTGGTTCGGCAATTCGGACCAATGGCATTCGGTTCGGTTTGGGACTTCTGCAATTCAGAACTTTGGCAAATTCGAACCCTAAACCTATGGCAACCACAGTGCATGCTATATTTGGAGATCAGGGGGACCTCCTGTGGGAGGGTTTTTCTGCTCTACCATGTGATTTTTAAAATGTTCTTTTCCTCCTAATCTATACATTTTTAGCAATAAACATTTATGCTCTAATGACCATTCGTTGTGTGGGCCATGACAGGAGCCCTTTAAGTTAAACTTGATCTGATGCGCAGAGTGTCCCTTTCAGTTTGAAACTCAATTTGAATTCCGAACAATAGAAATCATTGAGTGTAAGAATATTAAATAGTTAACTTGTTTATATGTATTTTATGCTTTTATAAGGTTTATAACATAATTATTGCTGACTGAAGGGATATTGAATACTTAAAGTCAATATGCTGACTGTGACAGACTAAGGTATTTCTTCTATAGGATGTAAGACAATGCTAAATTTCAGGATGTCTTGCCCATTCCGATTTTAAGGATATTCTTTTCCAGACGTATGCAAAAGCTTATCTTTCCATTGTCAGAATAATGTAATACAAGGAAGTAATAAATCTTATAGTCTGTACTGTATTTGCATATACCATGGCTAATGTAAGCAAACTATGTATAAAAGCCAGCTCTGGAATACACTCATTTGAGAGTCTTGTAAAGCTGTTGTCCGTGTGTTATTGCTTACAAATGATTCTCCATCAACGTTGATTATGGTGACTGAGGGATCGAGAACCGAGGGGATTAGAGTCCATTACAACATTAACCCTTTCAGCTTGGTGTCTAGAAGTGGGATAGAAGTTGGATCAGCAAAACCATTTGCGGTGAGTAGCCTTTTTGTGTCTTATTGACGCTGATTGTCTATGACCCCCGTTTGGTTCAGTAAGTCTGTATCCAGTAGATAGGAAAGGTGTAAGGACTCTAGTTATATTGAGACTATAAGAGGTCTCCGGTTTATTAGACATTTGGTCTAAATATATAGGGTTTTGGTAACCCAGGTTAGTATCTAAGATAGATACAGGTTTTTGAGACCATAAGAGGTCTCCGGTTTATTATAGGGTTTTGGTAACCCAGGTTAGTATCTAAGATAGATACAGGGTATCTCAGGTAGATACAGGTTTTTGAGACCATAAGAGTCTCCGGTTTATTAAGTCTATAGGTGTTCTGAGTAGCACGGTTTGTAGATCTATAAGTATAACCCAAACTTCTCTTTCTCCCGGTCACCTTTGTTTGTCTTAAGTGTTTTTTTGTGGGTGATTGTTTGTCTATATTGGGGACACACTTTGGTAAGTTAGTAGTGTCCCCACTCTGAGTCAGCAGTATGGGAAATGTGAGTTCATGTCCTGAGTGACCAATATATGTATGTATATATGTGTGTGTATGTATATATGTGTATATGTATGTATATATGTGTGTGTATATGTATATGTGTATATATAAGATAGCAGTACTTTTAAACAAATGGAGGTTTTAAAAATACATAAGGATTAAGGAGAGAACGCAGGTAACTTGTTTTTCTTTGGTTTTTACCATATATTGGGGCTGATGTGTACTGTAGTCCTTGCTGCTGTCCAGTAGTGATGGGAGTGAGCGTAGGACTTATCTTTCTGCAAGATAGCAGTACTGTATATTAGAAAAGAAATGACTCACAGGTTGTACCTGATAGACCTACTTAAATCTTTTTGCTTTATTCTTTCTGTTGCATAGAAGTATAAGTTTATTACTCTGTTTTATTGTAAGTTATTTCACATGGGAACTGTGTGCCTGGAATGATTGTTGCTTTAAAAATACTATAAGCCCACTACACTTATTATGAGAGTGGGATAGTGTAAATGTGTTACATTGTTTGCATGATGAGCTCAGTATATTTTATAACTGAGACAAAAAGTCACTTCAGTATTTGGAAGTTAATTCCCCATATGGGATTAATTGTATAGAAACACCAATCAGCACATCTTCCCTGCCCTGTGTGTTTGTTGCAAAGGATCCATACTAAATATGATTTATGTTTGAAAATAACAGAGCAACATTTACATTTTCAGCGGTCCAACACATGCTTTATTTTGCACTGTAAACTAACCTTTTATTGCAACAGGTTCCTTTTAAATGATCCAGTGTAATAACTACTGCTTGTGTCTTCTATGTCTCACATTATGTGATATTTTAAATTGTGGTATATAGCCTGAATCAGACATCATGGACAAAAGGTTTTTACATGTGTTACTAAGGGCTCTTGGAGACTGACCGGTCTAAAGGTTTGCCATGCCTTTAAAACATGGTATAGTATAAATTTTTTAAGTCTCTGAGAGTTCTGAAAGATTCAGGTGAAACCATGTCTGTTTAATCTGGTCCAGATGTTTGTTCAATTTCTGTAAGATTTAAGTTGATGCAGCATCATCTCAGATTAGTTAATGGTAGTTTTATACAAATAGTTGAGTTATGAGCGCGCTATATAAATGGATCCTTTCTTTATATATAATACTATAGTAGATTAAAGTAATGAAGTTAATTAAGAAAATGTACACATAAGAATCCCTAAAATAAATCTAAACTAAAATTGGTATACCTTCCAATAATATGTTCTGAATACAGCTGTTAACTGTTTATTCTGTGTAAATGGTGATTGTGATAATGTGTGATAAGTGTGCAGTTTAACTTGAAAGTGGTTTAATTTATATGTTGCTGTATTGTTTTAAATTATATGTGAATCAGTTTGTCACAGTCTAGTGATACTGATAAGAATGACAGCCAAATAACCTAGCAAATAACTGTTTTATTAGTTGTTGAATACTAGCGTTTTGGCCAAGAATAGTTGGAGATTTGGAGGTGTTAGTTTAAGATTGCTTTTATATTGTGTCTATCTGTGTTTCCTAGGAGGGAGACAGAGTGTGTAGTTGTGTGCCCATAAATGTGATTTCTGTATTGGCATATCTGCTGGGTACCCATTATGTGTTTCTACAAAGATATTGTTTTGTGAGATGACGTGTAATATTACATGGGATGCTGAGTATGAGTTATATGGTTTGAAATGAATTGGTGATTATGAGCTTAGTACTTCAGTAAGATGTGCTAATATTTGGAACAAGGTGGAAGCTGAAATGTTGGGATTATGGAAGAATAAGCAGTCTATATTCACTGCTTTGGCATATAAGCAAGATGCAAAGGAAGAGATTGGTAATATGATTTTTGTAAAGAAATTTTACAAGTATTGGAAGGATGAGGCAGGTTTGATGTCTGGAGATGATATAGATCTCTTTAAAATACAGTCATGCCTTGGTAATATGTTGCCACAGTATTCTTTGCTTGTGAAACAATTGATTTCAGACTGGGCCAATTTGGATAGCTCAGATTTTCTTACCAAGGTTATAGAAAAGGAAAATGCAGGTTGTTTTGAATTAAGAAAAGATTTAGGAAAGTAAGGTTGCTTATTATGCTCAGGGATTGCAACATATTATGTCCAGCTACACAGGCTGAGAGCGTGGATGGGATGGAGCACATAAAGCCTGTGGAAAGGGGTGGTCAAAGAGGGGCAAGGGGATGGAGACAGGGAAATCAGGGTTATAGGGGCAGGGGTAACCAAGGAGGAATAGACAGGAACACTTGTTTCAACTGTGGCCAATATGGCCACTGGAGGAATGAGTGTCCACACCCCAGGAAACCCCACACACCCCAACAACCCCACAATTCTCAAAATATGCCCTGTAGGCAAGAACAACACCAGACCCACTCCCAACACCACTGGCCAGCATATCGCTTAGTTCAGGACTTTAGAGCCCTGAATAGTTTAATTGTGCCCATTTCACCCATTGTCCCTGATGTGACATCCCTCATTACAGCCATTCCACATGATGCCACTTGCTTCACTGTCATTGATTTAAGTAATGCATTTTTTCTATACCTATTGATCAAGAGACACAGCTACTTATGGTTTTTACTTTTTGAAGGCTGTCAGTTTACCTGGACACGCTTACCCAAGGCTATGTGGATTCCCCAGCTGTTTATTCGTTGGTACTCCAACATACTCTAAAAAACATGGACCACCGGTCATGGTTCCGTCCTTTTTGCAAAATGTTGATGATTTGTTGTTATGTAACCCTAGCTATGAGGCAAGCACTGTGGATACTGTCAGCAACTGTGGGTCACAAGGTTGTTAAACACAAAATGCAATTGTGTAAATCAAAGGTTGAATACTTAGGTTTTGTTCTGGCTTTAGGCACCAGACAATTGAGTCCAAAATGTATTGAGGTCATTCAGAGGATTCCTACACCCACTACTCGGAAGGAGTTGCTCACCTTCCTCGGCATGATTAATTACTGCCACCAATGGATCCCTGAATGCTCCCATTATGACTCAATCCTAAGGGAGGCTGTACGTTCTGACAGCCCTGAAAATGTCTGCTGGTCACCAGACATGCTAGCTGCATATATTGCCCTTACAGTTGTTATTGTGCAAGCCCAGGCTTTAGGACTACCTGTGTATTGTAAACCATTTCATTTGTATGCTTGGGACAATTGTAAAACCATGGCCGCAGTCTGTGCACAAGAGCAAGGAGGCGGTATGCGTCCCATAGCATTCTTTTCCAAAGTAGTTCGAGCTCCGGTACAGGGTATGCCGGCGTGTCTCAGAGCATTGATAGCATGTGCAATGGCTGTTGAAACTGCTACTACTATCACACTAGGGCATCCTACAATACTTCATGCCAGTCACCAGGTCACTCAGCTGACAAATATCACCGTACAACACATGACAGCCCAGCGCTTCAGTGGTTATGAGATTTTTTTTTTTTAATACCCAGAATCTGTTTTTGGATTAAACAAGGTTTAGAGAAAGATCAAAATGATCTGTTCTCTAAAGAGGGGAGAATAGGCATACTTGAAGAATAGGCATACTTGAAGAAAGCTGATTTATTTTCATCAGTCAGGCACATAGCAAGCACCATTCAATTCTTCATGAATTCATTTTATATTAGGAATCTCAGGTAGCATGTACAGTCTTTTGTAAGATCGTGTGAACACTGCTCTTTTTACACACTTACAGATTGATTTTATTCATGTATCCAAAATTGGTAAGAAACAGCAATACTTACTGGTCATAGTTAATCAGTTTAGTAGATGGCATGAGGCCTTTGTGATATCTAGGGAAGATGCTAGTGAAGTTTATTGTTACTGAAATTATTCCCAGGTATGGCTGCCCTCTGCAGATTGGCTCTGATAATGGCCCGGTTTTTGCCAGTGGGGTTGCCCAGGAACTTGCTAAATTCTTGCAAATTACCTGGCAGTTTCATATACCCTATCATCCACAGAATACAGGGGTAGTTGAAAGGATGAATAGGACTATTAAGGAAAAGCCCAGAATTTACCCAGGAACATGGGTAAATTGGACTAGATATCTACCAGCTATTTTAGCTGAGATAAGAATGAATCCCCACAAGGTGACTAAATTATCTCCATTTGAGATTTTGATGGGATGACCTTTTCCCACACCCTGGGCCAGGGAACCGCTTGTTATAATGTCTGGGGATTTACAGCTAATACAAGAACAATATGTACAGGAATTGTTGATAAAACTGAATGGTATGTATGACAATGTTTCTTCGCAGTTTTCCCTTACCTTCACAGGAACCTACTCATTCATACCAGCCCGGTGACAAGGTGTATATCCGTCAGCTGAACAGGACCAAGAAAGGAGGATACCCTTTTGGACCACCTGCTACTGTGATTGCTGTACCCATAACCGCTGTCCTCACAGATTCCCATGACATCTGGATTCACGCATCCCGAGTGAAGCTGTGTCCAAAGAGGGGAACCAAGGAAGACAACACCACTCCTCGCTCGGAAACAGAAGAATTTCTCCTCAGTGAAGCATCATGGCTTTTACACCATATCGTAGATTGAGAGGATCATACGTACCTGAGACCAAGATTATGTTGTGCGCTATGCTTTCTGGAGTTGTTATACTCCCTCTGATATTGTTCCTTGAATGCCATTATGAGTACAAGTCAATGGCAAGTTTGAAAGTTTCTGGAAAAAGACTCTGACATGATGAACAATTCTTCAATACCCCCAGCCCAATTAGGCCTTAGCCCCTCATCTAGCATTCGTCACACACGCCCCCTCAAGAACCTTTCTCCACCACCTTTCTATCAGCATGCAATATGCAATCATTCATTACTGAACGCATTTGGATGAATTGGACAAATAGTAACCCTTATAAGTACCAGTTACCCATATGAAATGTGTCTACAGCTAATGAAACCGATGCATTATGTTTGTTTAAAGGTTCACAGAAAATTGTTAGATCTTATAACGCAGAAATGTGCACAGTTAAGGTTGCATATCAATGTAAACAGACAGGCCTTATTACTTTTAATAATGATTATATAACTGGTATCATTAATTGGAGAAGGGGACAAATGTTAGTCATTATGAACGACACTGCAATTGAGAACTATACACTACCTTATATTTTTACACCTTATTACTGTCCTTCATCCACTATCATAGAACCAAAAGTCAAACACGACACACACACACCTATTCCGTCCACATGTGTTAATACAACTGCCTTCTTACAAGCTGTACATGTGTCATTAAAAGTCACTACTCCTGTTGTAACATTATGTAATACAACAAACAAAGGCAGAAAAGGGAATGGTATGACACACTGTTAGGAGGTGCTGGAACCACTATGGGTATACTAAATAGTTATAGATATGGAGACCCTCAAGAATAAGTTAAACACAGCCAGCATGCATATAGGGACTGGTTTTCATGCTACTGCAAATTGGGCTCCAATTGTTGTTAAATCACAGGTTATAGGATTGGATTTAGATAAATCAATGTATAATTATTTAGATAATTTAACTGTTGCAACTATGAAATTCACTACAGATCTAAGTAACTGGAGTACTTGTGCCATCAGGTATTTATGGATACAACAACAAGGATTGGCATTAGAAAACACACTAATGATTCCTCAACTAGAGAAGATTAGAGGGATGCTTAACCTCACAGATAATGAATGGTTACTTCTAAAACCCCAATCCACTAAATGCAATGAATGGTTAACTGGTAATGTTTCACATTTTTCATGCTCTTGCTATTTTACATTATATCATACATCATCAAAGGATGTTAAATTAGCTTGTCAATTTAACACATTACCAGTACCAGTTTATGATCTTTTTGCCAAGAATTTAACCTGGTGGGCACCCACATACACAGGGGACTATATGTTTTCCCAAAGATAACACACACAGGTAGCCACACATATCCTAAAAGGAGAACTCCTTAAGGTGAGTTCACAAATTCAGAATGATTTAGCCCATCATTGGTACAATGCTTTACTGGTTGGTCCCCTACTGGATCTCAGATAATGAAATCATTCTTCTATCATTTTGTTATTATAGTCCTGATTTTATTGTGTATGATTTTATATAACTGTCACCTTAGTTGTACATTGAGGAAGAGAGTACAGAAATGAATCCATAATGCAGAACAGAAACAATTAGAAATTCTCCTCTCTGCCACTGTAGAGTATCAACCCATCTTTAAACTGGGCCTTAGGAATTACCACATGGGAATCGAGGTGAAGAAATTAATGAAAGTCCCGCAGGGAGTGACTAGCACCCCTGAAAATACCATGTGGAAGTTTCTCTGTCCTGGTAAGATTTTATCGATAAGATGAGCAATTGTTTTATTGCTCAAAGAGGGGAATGTAAGAATATTAAATAGTTAACTTGTTTATATGTATTTTATGCTTTTATAAGGTTTATAACATGATTATTGCTGACTGAAGGGATATTGAATACTTAAAGTCAATATGCTGACTGTGACAGACTAAGGTATTTCTTCTATAGGATGTAAGACAATGCTAAATTTCAGGATGTCTTGCCCATTCCGATTTTAAGGATATTCTTTTCCAGACGTATGCAAAAGCTTATCTTTCCATTGTCAGAATAACGTAATATAAGGAAGTAATAAATCTTATAGTCTGTACTGTATTTGCATATACCATGGCTAATGTAAGCAAACTATGTATAAAAGCCAGCTCTGGAATACACTCATTTGAGAGTCTTGTAAAGCTGTTGTCCGTGTGTTATTGCTTACAAATGATTCTCCATCAACGTTGATTATGGTGACCGAGGGATCGAGAACCGAGGGGATTAGAGTCCATTACAACATTAACCCTTTCACAGATATCCCCCTAACATAGCTATAACTAAAAACAAACTAAAAACTACTTCCAAAAATATTCAGCTTTGATATTAATGAGTTTTTTGGGTTCATTGAGAACATGGTTGTTGTTCAATAATAAAATTAATCCTCAAAAATACAACTTGCCTAATAATTCTGCACTCCCTGTAGAGTGTTCTTATACCACATATCCTTAAATAGAAGATCTAGGATCAAATAAAGCAGTTTTACCTTTGACAGTGGTTTTGAGTCTGTTAGCTAATGTTTTATCAACTGGAACTGGTCGACTAGGTAGCAACCCCTTTTCCAGGCTGTGGCAAAAGAAAATGTTTGTTTGTAATTGGCCTGCTGTCACTGCTTTGAGGGGTACATTCTGTAATTAGATATTATGGAGCTACAACTCCAGTCTCGTAGACTCAAGTTGATTCCAGAAAATACAAACATTGACTGTTAACGGGGAGATTTAAGATTGACAATTTCTTCACTGTCCAGATAAAGGTACAGAACAGTGAAGGGTTAAACCCTTCACAAACTCAATAAAAACTTCTTATGCTATCTTATAAGAGGAAATCCAAGTATACAATTAGATTAAAAGATTACTCCAGCCTCCTTGGCCACTTTTACTTTTAGAATTGCTCATGAACAAAGAAATCTATATGTGCAGAATTTCTACTTGAAATGTTTCGCATACAGAAACATTTTCACTTTTGTGCCAGGGCTTGTTATACCACTGGCACACGTGACTTAGGCAGCCCATAACCTTGTTCTGGACTACGTAATGTTGATCTTGTGCAAAAATCATTGGTCGCTGGCACACACTGCGTGCTGGCAACAGGTGTAACCACCTTCTTCATTTGCAGGAAGTGCTGTGAAAGTAGCAGTGTCAAGCCCTCTTTCATTTAATTAGATTGAGTCCTCCCTCCTTTATTTGCATTACGAAAGTGAGTTCTCCCAACGTTCCATCCTTCCTCAACACATTTAATTGGACCACAGACCATGTACAGTGTCCAAAGGATGTTTAATGGATTGTTAAAGGGACACTATAGTCACCAGAACAACTACAGCTTATTGAATTTGTTCTAGTGAGTAGAATCATTACCTTCAGGCTTTTTGCTGTAAACACAGTCTTTTCAGAGAAAATGCAGTGTTTACATTACAGCCTAGTGATACCTCCACTGGCCACTCCTCATATGGCTGTTAGAGATCCTTCCTGGGTCATGGCTGCCTAAAATGCATCCAAACAGTCAGTGTCTCCTCCCTCTGCATGCATACACTGAACTTTCCTAATCGAGATTAATTGATTCAATTCATCTCTATGTGGAGATGCTGATTGCCCAGTGCTGTGTTTGAATCATGCTGGCTCTGCCCTTGATCTGCCTCTCTGTCAGTCTCAGCCAATCCTATGATGTCAGCAGACAGCTTGTTTTTCTGAGGCAAACAGCATGCAGAGGTACAGCTTGAATACAAGTAAGATTTTGCTATATTTATGGAGGCATGAGGGCCCAGATGGTGGTTTTAACACTAATAGGATCAGGAATAAATGTTTGTGTTTCTGACTCTGTAGTGATCCTTTAAATTTTTTATTTTATTTTTTTTTAACGGCAGTAGATCTGCCAGAGCTTTAATTAATTCTTATCAAACTAGATGGCTTTTAGGTTTGTACTTTTTCCCCTATGGCAAAGCTGTGTTTTCAGTGGGAGGATAAGGGCTGTTGAGGTATTTCAGTCACTTCTTAAGTTACAAATTTTTTATTCATGATCTCTGTAACCACCTAGAATTACAAAGCGCGGCCTTTGGATAGAAAATCTTTGTTCTATTCCAATGTATTCAAAACTATGAGTATTAAAAAAAAAAAAAAAAGGAACGTGCTGGTATTAAAGCTGGTCGTGATTCACTGGATACACATTCAGATAAGTTTTATTAAGCAAAAATTGATGTAAAATATATAATGGTTTTTAAGTTTATTTCCACCAGAAAGGTTCTGTACACTACTGTTTGATGTACACAATGCCTGTACATTGTTATCAGCATCCATCACTTGTACAGTGTGTGCAGTTCCTTCGATGAAAGGAGGACTGCTAGAATAGACAGAATAGTTATTTATCTATTGCAGCATGATGACAGGCCCGGCACAATCTGCCTGTTCAGAGACATTGAATGAATACTACGCAGTCTACTTCATCTATTTTTATTTCTTTGCAGCACAGCTAGTATACATCAATGATGGGAGTGATTTGAGCCCTAGCAGGCTAGACCATGTACTATCCACTGGGCTTGTGTCCCGAGCATTTTTGGTCTTACATAATTTCCCAGAATAGATGCCACAATGGTGTTTTAATAATGGGTGTCTGATGAAATTTAGACGGGGCAGCATTAGATTATACTCCCAGATATAACCTTCCTGCCTGACTTGTTGGGCTTTGAACATTAAAACTTATGTACTCAGGCACTGACACAACAATGAGATATCATACCTTTTTCACACATGTATCTAAGAAACAACACGTACTCTAAAGAGTTTACATTCCACCCCCCTGATGCAGTTACTTAGTGACAGCCTTAGAATACAGTACAGTATACCTCCCAATTGTCCCTATTGCTACCAAATTCTTCTTTCGCTGTTATTAATGTCCCTCTTTTCT